ATTGGATCCAGCTATTAGCAAAATGTACTCATTTTCCCTGAAGCTAGTCTTCCATTCTGCAGACCAAAGGCTTGGTAAACTCTAGCTTTTTTTTCTCCCTTTAATAAAGGCATGGTTTAAATTACTTGCTTTCTAAATCTTACTTGTAGACCTCAGAAGTAAAATATTTATGTTTTGCTTGTATACGTATTATTGAGAACATTAGCAAGCTAGATCATTACAATATAACATAAAAAGATTTCTGTGAGGATGTTTGTTTTAGGCTTGTCTGATTGTTTCTGTGGGGCAGGGGAGAATCATACGGATTAGGCAAAGTAATTTATCACCTGGGCCAGAAAAAAAAAAAATTGCTTTAATTTAAGATGTGTTCAGAATAGTTTAAAAATATTGCTTCTCAGGTATGTAACTGGGAGCTTTTCTTTTGAAAGTCAACCCATGTATTTGATGCCTTAGATGGGTTTAGTAAGTCAGCTTCAAGCACCATTTCCCAAGAGATCTTGGCCCAGGTTGCTGAAACAAAGGGACTGTCTTAGAGCTGGATTATTATTATATTTTATGTAAGTATTTATTTCAGTTAAATAATCTCATGCGACAGCTTGCATTCTCTGAAAACAGAAGAAACATAATTTTGGTTCCTCAACATCTACGATTGCATTGTCAAAATTACAGGTAATGTTTGAGTTGCAAATAATATTGTGCACTACCATGTATTTTTCTTAGAATGAAATTAAAAGATAATATGAGACCACTGGAATTATTTGTATAAGCTCTGCTCCTAAATTTGGGACAGTCTGCTATTTGACAGTAGTATTCGGTCAAGATGTTTCATCTAGGTGCTAGCCAATACTTAGGTCTTGATGTGGTTGATATTTATGAAAATGTAACAGCTGGTTTCCAAATGTTGTACCTGAGACAGCAAGTGTCTCAGTGTCTTCCTGCCACCGAACTGTGCCTCAGAAATACACTACTAATATGAGTAGTGTCTTGGCAAAACTCACAGTAATAATCTTCATTTAGCTTAAAAAGCTGGTAGTGGTAGTCTGCACCAGCTGCAAAAGCAGGGCGGGAGGAAAGAACAATTTCCAGGCAATGAGGATCCATCCACGAGGAACCTGAGGTCCCACCAGACCTGCAGCACAACCCCCCCAGCCACGTCTCTCCATCCTTGGGAGTACCAGCTGTCAGTCGCAGGCTCAGAAGGACATCTCTCAGCCCGGTATTGGAGTCTGAGAAAATAAATTGCATTTCCAACTTTGGCACATGGATCCCTGCGGTTGCCAAACCAGTAAGAGCGTGGGTGGGTGGGTGGGTGGTTACAGGTGTTGCTTCAGATCCAGACAAAGTGTATGTGCTTTCTGCCAGCAGTAACAGGAAGGATTGCTGTAAATTACTTTTCATGTTTATTTTATATTGTTTATGGTGTAACCAGACAAAATGACATATGGTGTGCATCTCTGAACCGTGCAGAAGAGCACAGAGAAAAGTGCAGAGAGAAAATTGGGAGAGGACTAACAAGTTCTTATTTTTGCCACTGAGTATTTGCTCCTGGGAGGAACAGAAAAGCCAAGGAGAGCATACACAGGATGCAGTATGGTTAGCTGAGTCCTACCGCAAGCTACTTAGTTTTCAAAATTTCCTTTTGAGACTGGATTGTTAAAAGTGCCTGTTCACATGACTCATTCGTTAGGCTGTGAAGCTGTGGGGTCCGTTTTACTTTTCCTGCTCTAAGCATTGGATGAGACGTTGGGAACTGATTCCCCCCCGCCCCGTCCTTCTCTTATGTGAATAAAATACTCATGTTTGTGGTATCAGTCTAGGGCGTGGATTATACTAGAAGAATTAGTTCTTTATAGTGCGTGTATCTGAGAAATGCCTGCGTTCGCTTTAGCTGCAGTACGTGTGACATGGCCGTCTACACGCTGCGCTGCACGGGGGGCAGGAGCATTACCGACGTACACGTTCGGTCCAAGCGGTAGCGAAGATTTCAGTCCAAGTGGTAGTGAAGACCTCGGTGCCGGCGTTGCGCAGCTCACCCCCCGCCCCTCTTGTGCTGGGGGCCAGCCTTGGTTTCCGCGCTCCCTGCTCGCTGGGGTCCCGCACCAGACACAGGAGGGCCGGCTTCGCAGGTGCTTCGGCAGCGGTCCGTTCTCCTGTGGTTCACTCTGCCCTGAGAGCATTCAGGGGCTTTTGGAGAACAGGAGGCAAATGTGCAATCTGAGGATAACAGACATGCCGCTCCTGCCCCAGCTGGCAAAGCGCCAGCATTTCAGATCTGGAAATGTGCCAGGATGTGTACTCACCCTGGGAAAGAAAGGGAAAAAAGCAAAAGAGAGAAAGAAAAGTGTGTGCTGTCCCAGATCCCGCTCAACAAATATTTTTCTTTTAAACTATCTGAAAGGAGGTTGATTGCCAAGAACAGGAACCCCGTGGAGGAAGGAACAATTAAGGGAACAGGCACGGCTTAATCGTTCCGTGTTTTCCAAAGCCATTGGGATTCAGATGATCAGGCCATGATACTAACATAAGGCAGCCATACACGATGTTAGTATGTGAGGAGGTAGGACCACATGAACGCCTTCACAGGGAGGACTTCTGTTCTGCTTTCCATGCAGCCGTTATGGTCGCACCGGGAAAGCCGTGTTGGGGATGAGCCGGCTTGTGTGCTGCGTGAGCCGGGTCCCTGCTTCTTACCGAAAGTTCTCAGAAATTTAGGCCCTACAGTCCTGTGACGTCCTCCTTTAGGATCAATAAGTATTTTAATAACTGCAGAGAAAAGACAGCTTCACCAGGAGATATGAAGAGAGCCCTATCCCAGAATACATTATAGTCTGCTGTTGAAATATTCTCACTGAAGGCATAGTTTGAGATCTCGAGCAGACACCGAAGGTGGACTTGATTGCATACCTCCTGGGTGAGTACTGTAATTGCTGGACCATGAGATGTAGAAGAGCAGTGATCACAGGAGAGGACCACAGTCCCCTTCTGCTCCCTGTGTTTCTTATACATGCTATGAGAATACACAAGGGATTTTTTTTTTTTTTTTCAAATATATGACAGAAGGTGCAGAATAAAGTGTATCAGATGAAGACGTGTTTTAAATGTGTTCATACTCTGTTTGGTTGACTCACCCTACAGATGAAAGATGTGTACACTTAATTTTTGAGCCTTGAAGGTTTGGTCCAGGCACAGAGCTGCTCAGTGCTATGAGAAACACCCTGTAAGAAAGCTGGATTGCCTGGGAAAATTTATGGATGAAATCTTTAGTGTCTCCAGGGAGAAGCAGCAGCTGGGTAGCATTTTGAAGGTCTACATTATGGATATGGGCATCTACAGCAAATCTTGGAAATCTGTTGAATCTTGGAAAGGTATTTACTTTCACAGATTTAGCTCTGGTTCCACTTGCAGGAATCTTAACAGCTGTTATTTTGTCAGCAAAAAGCTTTAAGAGACAGCTTTTATTCTCTACCATGCGTTGCGCTGTAACTGTTCAGTATCTTATGTGCTGTGAGCGCAAACTCCTCTCAGCCACAAAACCCCTCAGCGCTTTATTTCATTCATAAGCTGTGTTCAAACTATTTCATATAAAAGGCCAGCTGGAAAGAGGTGTCAGGTACCAAAAAAGGACTTTTCCAGGACCTGTGAGCATTTATCATTTGTTAATTATGCTAATAGGGTTAACATCTAATTACATAAGTCTGTGAAATTTTTTCCTGAGATGTAAAGTTGGCAAGGACTAGGATGACAAGGAAAGTCCTTCCAAATACCTTATTTCCAAAAGCAACAATATACTTAAGTGTGACTTTTTTCCCCTTCTTTTCTGCCTTCCATTCTTGATGTTAACAGTAAATCTATCATTCAGGAAAAGGTTCGTGTTCAGTTACTTGATATGAGCACAATTTGGACTCAGTTTTGAAATGTTAGAACTGCTAACATTTTACTCTTACTGTGAAAGGTGATTGTTATTGCGTGCCCTATCTTTTGAAACATGGTAAGAACAAAGGCTGAAACAGAAGGATTGGGATGGTGGGAGGGTTTTATTGCACTTAACTGTTTTCCTTCAGGATCAGTGCTGAGCCACTAATGGAATATAAATGTGAGGCTGATCACTGCCTACAATTGAGGAAGCCTTGCTGGAGAGTAAGATGACACTTATGCCATAAAAGTAGCTAAGAACAAAATCAGAAATTTAAAGACAACATCAAAAAAATCCAGGTGTAGTTCATGTTCACACTACTGAATTAAAAATACTTTTCAATTGTGATTTGCTTGAAAATTTCCATACTTTTCAGTGCAGTATGTTAGTAACAGGTTTTGTCAATGTGCATTTGATAGAACAGCCTGGCTTTTTAAGTGTAGATGGATTTTAAATGCTTTGCAAGGTGCTTAAAATCTATTAGTGGCAAAGATGTGGTGGCAAAACTGTGTTTCATTTAACTGAAAGCTCCCTGTTTCATGGTTTTATACCTAACTCTTATCCTTTTGGCATGGATTTAATATGGGTACAGAATTATATTTAAGCCTGTTTATCACTTAGATTATACACTTTACATAGGGGAAATTATCAATTACATCTTGTGGCTCTTCCAGATGTTTGCAGTGCTAATCTTTGCCCCCACCCCCCTACAGTATAAAAGAAATAACCTCTAGCCTAACTTAAAGGAAAAAAGTCAAGACTGGAGACGGTGGAGGTGAAGATGCTGCAGATCTGTGCCTGGATCTGGGTTAGTTTACCAACGTGGAACCAGGAGTTTGTCTTTGGGCATTCTGAGTTTCCAAAGCCCGGGCTTACGTGCAGAGAGCGATGCACCTCTGCCCAGCTTACCGACTAGTGTTGAGAGGCATCTATCTGCCTGGCTACTGGGGAAAAAAAATGCAACCCACCCAAACCCAACAACAACAAAACCAACCTGGTTAGGGATGTATTGTTTATCAACACTTACACAGATACAATGCAGTTTCTTTTCTTCCTAATTATCCTAATATTTCTTTTCTTCCCAAAGGTTCGTCATCGGTGGTGTGAACTTGTTGTTAAACACAAGTACGTGCCTGGCTATGGAGATGTTGAGAAATTTCTCAGAGAAGATCAGGTCAGTTACATTTAATTAGCATTTTCAAAATAATCAGCTTTTTGACACCCTTAAAGTGAAACTAAAAAATTTTTTAATATATTTTCTTGCTGCTGTTTGTCAAAAAACTGAATGCGTATTCAGGTTTTGCTTCTTTTGCCCCTTAAACATTGTACTTTAAGGAAGCCACTTACGGGTGTTCAGCCCACCTAAGCATGCTAATTTTCTGGTAGGTGGTGAAATAGGATATATTCCCTCCTCTCCTTTCATTTTATGCAAGCCAGAGGTATGAATGATGCTAGGAAGATATTTCTCAGCATTGGTTCCTTCTACAGGCTGACAAAAGCAAGTCTAGCTGTGACTGTTAAGGCATATAGATATGATCTAGGTGCAAAGCAGTCAGTGCTGTGGTAACTTCAGTTTTCAAGATGACGTCCAGAGGGAGGACATTGCACATTGATACACATCCAGAGAATGTGGGCCTCTCCACAGTTAGGAAAATGCTACCAGAAGATTCTGAAGGTCTTAAAAGGCTGGCCATACATGATGTCTTTACTATGGCTTTTAATTTAGGCCATTATGAACTTAAAATTCTAATTGTACCTCTGCCTTATTCTTTCTATTTCACTTGTATTTATTTTTTTTCACTATGAACTCTATAAAATCAAGACATTCACTGCCTAGGTTGACTGTTATATATTTAGGATGAGTGTTATATATTTAAAATGTATGTGAAAAATAGAAAATGTTGCAAGATATTTCAAAGTCTAGGCAAGCTATTAATGTCTTTACCTTTTATGTTGACAATGAACAAAGCTATTTACAGCCAATGAGGTTTTTGTGCTTTCAGGCAAATACATTTTGTCACAACAGCACAATAAAATTATTGCAGTCTCTTGTGCTCTTTCTTCCAGCTCTGAAGTATACCTCCTATTTATATCTCAGCCAATGAACAGGCCCCGGACTTGCTGGCAAGCTCTTTATTAAAAAAAAAAAAAAAAAGCATAACCCAACATTATTTATGAAAATAAGAAGTTATATATATTGTGTGTATTTTAATCCTATGAAAGGATGGTGATAACCACCAGCAGAAGCCTGGGGTGGGGGGGCAGAAATCCTTGAGTTCCTAAACCCAAACATACTGAATTGCATTATGTTTGGAACAGATACTATGCCAAATAAAGACTAACATTTTCTTCAGTGCAGGGAAATAATTTTTGCAACTTTTTTTAATGTAATCTTCAATATCTTTCATTTACTCCAGCAGTGCGTACAGTTTATGGCACATCCAGCTTCTGGAGTGATTACAACTCAAATCAGAGCAGTTGCATGTCCTTACTGATCACGAAAAACTTGACTTTTTTAAAAGTCTGGGAAAAATGCAAATGTGTCTATTTAAATCCTTTTCAGGTCTACAAAAACCCAATGTGTTTACACATGTTAATGTTTAGGCTTGGAGGTAAATTATTAACACTGGCTAGAGAAGATAACTCCTATTTGTAACAAAATTCCAACATTTTGAAATTCTCTATGAAAGTGACTGGAGCCCAGCTCCAAGGCCGTGTGCATGCCTGGTGTGGCTGCCAGACCCTGGTGCAGCTGCAGACCCTGGAAATCTGAGTTCTTTGGTCTCTGGATGGCAGAGAGCACACTCAGGGGATTGGCGAAGAGTCTGACAGGTTTCTGCCACTTTGGGACTTCTTCCTTTAATTTCAGTCGTTGCTAAGTCTTGTTGAAGCTAATTTTTTTTACGGCTTACCACCCAATGCTGGAAATTGTGAGGAATGGTATTAAAAATTGTGGTTTTTCAATGCTATCTAAATTTTTCCTCAACAGTCCAAACATTAAGTACAACTGTAAAAGTCAGTGTGCTAAGCTGCTAATATTTTGTCACGTGTATAATCCTATTTTGGTAAGTGCAGCTTAACTGAATTCCTGTAATTAGGTGAAAAAATTGTATCATCAGAAAAAAAAAGGCAATCCCCAATATGTTTCCTGTTAAGTTAGTCAGTGATTTGCCACCTGCTGTCGAAGGGGCCCAGATCTCACCCCCAGGTGCCCCTGTTACCTTTCTTGATAGCTGCTATGTCCAGAATGAGTAGTTAGGAAAAGCCTGCCTTCTTCCCAAACCAGAATTTGTGCATGTTCAGCTGTATCTCAGATGTAAAGAGAAGAATCTGAAACACACACCTGACCACATTCAGTTGGTTGTCCAGTTACGGAATTGCCAAATGGGAATTTTAGAGTGGAGTGTTTTGGTTGATGTCCTCCTTATTCGTGTGTGTGTGTGTGTGTGTGTATGTGTGCAAACATCACAATTGGAAAGAAAACATGTATCCTGTTGAAGGAAGGACAAACTGTTTTCTTAAGGGACATTTGGAAATATTTCAGGTAGTGGATAAAAGAAAACAGATTTCAACTTGAAAAGTGGCAAGAAAAACGGAGTGAGAAAACATTTCCTTGTCACAACATAACATACACCTCTTACATTAATATTCTGTTCTTATACACTCAATACAACATATAGACAGCCACCCTTAGGCTAAAGAGATCCAGATAAAACTACTTTTTGGGGGAGAAGGGTAGGTGCTATAGAGGATATGGTATTTTCTGTGTTTTGGATTGTCTTTTTTGTTTTGGCTTGGTTTTAATTAAATGAGTACTAGGAGGTCAATGGAATGAAAACCAGCTAACTAGTCATTACTGCTGGAAGGATGCCTGTGTGTTATGTTCCTCTTTCAGGCAATGGGTGTGTATCTCTATGGTGAATTAATGGTGAATGAAGATGCAAAACAACAAGAACTTGCACATAAATGCTTTGCTGCAGCACGAGAACATATGGATGCGTCCTCAGCCAAAGTGGTGGCAGAGATGTTATTCTGAAGAGGTGATTTTTCTTTTTAAATTAAACATCCTGATTTTGCCTCATACAGAAAGAATATGCAGAGCTCACTAAATGTAGTAAACTTTGGCATACCATACAGCTTATGGCTGCTTAGCTTGAGAAGTAACTCTTGTTAAATGTCTTGCTGTTTTTCTTTTTTTAAGCCCAGCTGCTGGAGCAGTGAGTTAGATACATGTAGGCACTAGCTGGAGAGCATGGAGCATGGCTTTGTTGTAAACTCTGTAATGGACTGTACAAGAGGCAACTGTAAGTCCAAATGGCCAGAGAGGGCCAGGCTCCACCTGCAGTTGTTTCCCATTTGGTATTCTTCACTCTGCTTACAGAAATTGCAATTCTGCAAGGAGCATTTCTGTTTAATGAAGCTGCATGTTGACTTGATAGGCAGCACAGTCTTTGAAAAGCATCTGAGCCCACCAGTGGAAGTATGAAGCTATGCACTTGGAAACAAATCTGAATCATGTGAAAACAAGCTGATAAATCAAATGTTTTTGTGTTAAGTGTAGTGAGGCCTTCGAAGACTGATTATGAGGTAAGAAGAGTAGCCTTAACATGAAGAAGCTGTGTAATATCATACATAATCTAGCTTGTTTCTGAAATTAATGGGGAGGAATCACCAGAGAAGAAGCAGAATTGCAAGAAATATGCATGAAATAAAGATTGCTGCAGGCTGTAAACTGGTAATTTGCAAAGATATTCTCCATTTTTCAGTCTATTTGAGTAGCCGGAGGTAACCTTACAGTGTCTGTACATGCACGTTTAACACATAGCCAATTAGGATTGGTATGAAGGTCTCTTCCAGTACAGCATACCTCAGATTTTTGCTTAATGATATAACTCATCTGACAGATTGATTGCCTTGGTTGTTCACATAACTTTACAGTTGATCTGTGGTATCAAAATTCAGGCATCTAATTTAGCAAAATCGTAATTTTCTAATTGGTACCAAGCAGAAATCTTGATTTTCTCCTGTTCAAGCCTGTACATCTAGCCTTACTTGATAGTGAGTTCTGCTTGAATTTGTAGTGTTTACTTCATTTATATGAAATACAGCAGGTGATAGATACCATGAAAGCAAGTTTGTTTATGAATAGCCATGTTGTTCTTCTGTATAGACAAGAACTGTACCTGCCAAGAAAACTTTTTTGGAAAGGTGGATCAGATGATAGAGTGCCAGGATATCAGTTATGGAGTAGGAGGGTTGCCTTCTAAAACAGGTAGGGTTAAAAGACTTACTTGTGTGCTCCCAATTATTGAGGACCCACAGGAATTTGAGCTATGATGTTCAACAATTTTTAATCTGGTAGATGCCTTCAGGTGTCTGAAGGCCAGAAACATGGAGATGCAGTTTGTTCTGGTACTACTGTACTAGGAACTGTCTTCCAATAGTTCCTTCAATAATAAAATAAAACCCCAAATTTCTACAAGCTTCTCGTGGTAAGTATCTAGCACAGGAAAATTACATGGTATGTGTGTGTCAGGAATAGGCTAGAATTGCCCCCTTGACTTTTCAGACAGACTAGAAATGCATAAAATCTAAAGATACTGTTATGAGAACAACACTTGTGTGACTGCACAGCTTTCTTTTAATGTTGTGGCTGTTTGGGTTCCTGGCATGATGATTTGTGACTTAAGATTAAAATCACATTGCCAGGGATTACCACACAGCCATGACCGCAGCTGCTAGTAGGAAACTCACCATAACTATCCGATCCGTGCACAGCATGGAATCCTCTCCGTCCATTAAAAAAAAAAAAAAAAAAAAAAAAAAGAGGAAAGCAGCAGACGCATCACGGAAGACTCTCATCAGATAATTAGCTATACCAAGATGGAGACCTCTCTGGCAAGGTGCAGAGCTTAGCTGATTGGTGAACAGTGATTGTTTCCCTCTTTGTTCACAGTGGCTAAGTTCTGCACCTGAAGAGAAGGGGAGAGGAGACCTCGCTTAATGTCAGCCTGCGCAGGGCAGAGAGCTGGCTGAGATACCTTGCTGCTGAATGGGCAGGTTTACAATGCGTGCCTGCATGTGAGATGCAGTATATCGAGGATAAGAGGCAGAGGTGACATGGGGTGGACCAAAGACTCTTGGTTTTAGCGGAGAACAAACAGCGCTCCTTAAATTCTCGGTCTGACTGCAAATGTAAGGCATCGCCTACAGTAATTTTGTTGCCATGCTTTTCTAAGGTCAGAGGAAATAAATGTTTGTGACTTTAAACTGGAGTTGCCTATAAAGCTTTGTTTCGCAGTCTTCTCTTTAATGGATGCTGTCATGATCTCTCTGCAGTTGTAGCTTAGCACTGTGTGTCGTTTGCAGGAAATGGTTGTTTCCGACTGGAGCTGCCACTTACGGCTGCTGCTGTTGTTCCAGGCTGTCGATGGACCCGTCCTCCGGTGCCTACTGAGCTGATATCAGTTCTGATTTTACACACTGGCTCAGTTCAGCAGGAACAGGAGTCGAGCCCTAGAGCAAAAAAAGATGTACCTTTTCTAAGAGCCTTTGAGAAATGTTGTTACTGTTTTCTCTCAAAAAACGAATTAGTATGTATTACGATGTCCTGATGTTAAACACTAAATGGCCTAAGGTGGAAAAGCTGCCTCAGTACTGTCTAGAGAACTGTTGGCTTAAGACAAGAAGGTACGTGGATACATAGCACATTGCAGAGTATTGCTGTGGTAACTGACCTCCAGCATTATTTTCAGAGTAAGCTGCTAATAACCAAGAGAACGTGCTTGCAGTGTGGATCTTCCCTGTCTTCTCCAGACCTTGATGTGGTAGCTCTAGAATTCTAAAGAGATCATTGTTAACTCTGTAACCACAGTTATGGTCTACTGGTAACCTAAAAAATAACTCCATTTGGAAAGCTGGGGCGATCAAGAATGCACAGGTAGTCCTTTATCATGACAGAATAATAACTTTTACTGCTGTTTCCGTTGCAGGAAAGATCACAGAGAAACTCTTTTAATATATCTCCTACTAAACCCTGATGGTACTAGGATTTCATTGACCCAAGACATCAAAGGAAGGATTATGTGACTGCTAAAACAATCAGCTGACAGAAACATTCACCTCTCGATATTTATGTCTTCCAGAGGCTCACTGTAACCAAGAACGCATGCGCACAAAACAAACTACACATGAACACACATTACTGTGGCTTTAGGTAGTTCTTTAATACAATAAATTTGGGGTTTATCCTTGCTCTTTGGTGGTACAACCATTCCAGTTTGCAGATGCCAAGCAGTCTTGATTTGAATGATTATGTGCTCCAGTAATTTGGCCAACATTAGGAATCTCTGAAGTTAGATGAAACTGTATTCTGTACTTAAAATTTTATTTGTAAATTCTATGTCAAATTAAAAAGCTAATATAAAATTAGCGGGAGCTGGGGTGGGGCTGGGGAGGTTAATTGGAAGTGTGAAAAGTGACCAGCCATCATCTTGGTGATGGGATGGGATTGAAGGAAAACAAAGATTAGCATTCTCTCTCTGTCTTGTTTAGGTTAACTTTTACCAGAAATGTCAGACCTTCCATTTTCTGAAAATGTCTTCTATACCCCGTGCTGCTCCTTTTGCATGGTGATATATCAACGGTAGCTCTTCTTTCCTAGGACAGTACTGCTCCACTGGTCAGAAGACAGCTTAACTGTTCCTTTCAGAGACTAAGAATTTAAAACACAAAAATTTGTGAACGTATTTACTTTGTACACTATTGTTTTACGTCAAATACTCTTGTAAAAATAAATACTTTTTTCACGTATGTGTAGTCTTTCCATTGCACAGTGGTTCAACATTAATTTACAAGCTTAGGAACAAGAATGACCCCACTTCTGCTTTTGCAGTAGGAGAAAAGGAGCTGAAAGTCACTAGTTAATGGATATTAACAAAAAAATTAAATGTGTTAATTAATATTTTTTTAAAGTTGTCGTGGTTTAACCCCAGCCAGCAACTAAGCACCACGCAGCCGCTCGCTCACTCACTCCCCCCCATCCAGTGGGATGGGGGAGAAAATCGGGAAAAGAAGTAAAACTCGTGGGTTGAGATAAGAACAGAAGAGAAGAAACTAATAATGATAATGATAACACTAATAAAATGACAACAGTAGTAATAAAAGGATTGGAATGTCCAAATGATGCGCAGGGCAATTGCTCACCACCCGCCGACCGACACCCAGCCAGTCCCCGAGCGGTGAATCCCTGCCCCCCCCCTTCCCAGTTCCTAAACTAGATGGGATGTCCCATGGTATGGAATACACTGTTGGCCAGTTTGGGTCAGGTGCCCTGGCTGGGCATGAGAAGCTGAAAAATCCTTGACTCTAGTCTAAACACTACTGAGTAACGACTGAAAACATCAGTGTTATCAACATTCTTCACATACTGAACTCAAAACATAGCACTGTACCAGCTACTAGGAAGACAGTTAACTACATCCCAGCTGAAACCAGGACAAAAGTTCTTGTGCTCAGAATCCAAAGTAAGAGCCTACCTCAGCAGTGACTTCAGTCCAATGAGTACAGTTCCTCTTTACCTCACTACATTTTCTGACCTCCCCCTTTCCAGGCACACAGTGTCAATACCTGAATTTTGGGACACTCAGCAATTTCTTTCAAATGCAGCAAGAGTTAGGAAATTGTCCAAGAACACGCAGAGATACTGCAATGACTTCTAATGTAGTTGTGCTCACAGATGTAGTTATTAAGGGATCCCATTCATTAAAGAGTTATGCTTCATTTCCATTTCACAGGTTTTTCTGCAAAGGAAACCAGCTTAGTTTTTGCCTTTTCCATTGTGTAAGGGAAAGAACCCAGAGCTGGATAAGGCTCTTGCACAAGACAACCAGAAATTAAATATGTTGTAATCCTGTTCATAGCCAGTACTGTTAAAAAAAACCTACATGGTAGGTAAGACATTCCACACATTTGCAAATATCACCGTATTTTTGTTCTTTCAAAACACTCTACTTACTTACCTTACCTTTTTTTAAT